ATTTTTAAGTTTACCTCCGCAGACTCTGTTGTACTTGTCCTTTGGTGTTTGGCTTACTTCACTTGGCGTAATTTCCTCCGATTCTTCCCATGTGGTGATGTGCTTCATGCGTTCATCACTGCTTTTTAGGGATGTGTTGTACTCCATTGTACCACAGTTTTTTTTAGGGTTTTTAAAATCATTTTATTGGGGACTCTTACAACTCTATTTACAATCCATACATTAATTGTATCAGACATATTAGTACATATATTGCCATTGTTCTTTTCTAGATGTTTACTTTCTTTTGGGCTCTTGGGACCAGTTCCTCTTTTTTCCCTCCCTCACCCCGCCCCACCCTTGTGGCCCCTTGATAGATTATAGATTTTTATTATTTTCAAATCTCACAATGACTGCTGTCTCCCTTCCCCTCTTGTTTCTATTGTTCTTCCTCCTTGATGGGGGTGTGTTTGTGATCGATACCCCTCCTCCCTAACCACTTCTCCCCCCTTCCCCCTACCCTTTTGGCATCACTGTTCCGTTCCTGTTTCTAGGTTCTATGTGTCATGAGTTTTATCTCTTGCCTTGACCAATGAGCATGTTCCCTTCTAGTCCAGCCTGAGAAGCAGCACTGGGGTCATGATAGTGGGGGGTGAGGAGGCCTCAAGGGATCAGAGGTATGTTGCGTGATCCATCAGTACTCTACTGCACCCTGATTGACTCATGCCCTCCCTGAGACCCCTCTGTCGGTAATGTTCCATTGTCCACAGATGGGCTTTGTATCTCCACTCAAATCCCACCCCACCTTATTCTCACCAGTGCATATTTGTTTGTTTGTTGTTTGCTATGAATCTTTTGATACCCGCTGCCCGGTCTCAATGATACCTCATAATCACACTGGCTGGTGTGCTTCTTCCATGCGGGCTTGTTGCTTCCCTTTTGGATGGCCGCTGGTTTAATTTCCAGCCTTTAAGACCCCCATATATTATATCCTTTCATAGCCGGGCACTATCCTCTGTCTTCGCCACATCTGCTTATGCATCCATTTTGTTTTCAAAGATCCTGTGTGTGTGGTGGAGCTGAGGGGTGGGGTGAGGGGTGAGCATCACAAAATGCCCATTTACTAGAACAAAGTGAACCTGGATTGAGGGAAGGTATGAGCCAAGGCCCAAGGTCTGTCTGCAGCCTCGGTGTATTGCCTTATAAATATATGTACATAGGCTAATACCTCTATTTTTTATGGATTATCATATTTACATAAGTACGCACCTCTGTCAATATCCCTATCTGTACCTTTGCTTCCTAGAGCTTACCTCTGTTTTCTTTGCCTCCTCCTGCCCCACCATCATGTTCTCCCTCCTTCTACCTCTTAGTACTTCCTCTCAGTTAGATTGGTGTTGCTCTAATACTCATAGTATCTTTACCCTCTCATCGATGTTGGTTTCGAGTCCCTAGTTGTTTCCTTCTCCATGATGCTGTCCACTCACCAGACTCTTCTCCCTGCCTCCTTCTTCCCCCTCGACCTTCCAAGGCATTGCTTTCTCCCCAAGCTTCCTTCCTATGTCGAGCTCATATAAGTAGGTAAACCAGCAATATCCTAGTCCAAACAATACGAAAACATAAGGCTGAAAAAATAGAGAGACCCCCACCCCAACCTACATACATCCAGGTCTGTTCGCTGGTTCCCATGAGTTCCTCACCCCTGGTCCTGGAGGAGATCCGGGAGTTGCCCCTCCTAGCCCAAAGTCCATTCTTGGGACTCCTCAGGGGCTCCATGGATTGGTTTTACTCCAATTGTGAATCTGTTATGCTCCATTCCTGGTTTGTACCGCTGTGGGGGATTCAGTCCACACTGTCTCCACGCCGTGTGCCCCCATTATTGTCCTCTGTCACCGAACGCTCCAGTTAGGGCACAACATGTCTTGAGTTGACACCCCCACAGTCCTCTCTGTATACCACAGTTTTTTAATCCATTCATCCGTTGATGGAAATATGAGTTTATTCCAATTCCTTGTGATTGTGAATTGTGCCACACAGTTGTACCTTCCAGGGCCCA